CCTCAGAACCAGAACCTTGTTAAATTGTCAGACAGCATATTTCTGCCTCTGTTTTCTGGCCTGTATTTGTTCACTGTCAGGATCTGATTTCCAAAGCAGAGAAAAGGAAGAAATGCTGACAGAAACATGCAGCAGCTTTCAGCAACATCAACTCTTCAGCATCATGTCATCATTGTCCACATTGGACCGGTTCTATTGGACCTTCTCCAACAAACACAGCAGGTCCAGAAGAGGCAGAGAAACAAAAAGGTTCCTCAGCATTTTACAGCCTTAATGAAGGAGAATAGAGGAAATTATTTATCCTGCCAGAGAAACATCTCATTGAAGCAGCTAGTTTTAACTTTTAACCCTTTAAGCCCCTGTTGGGATCCAAGGGTTGCCCTCCAGAGGGCGGTGTGGATCCCATTCTGTAGCTTCTGTTTCTGTTTGTATCCCTTCTTCTGGGCTTCTGTTTCTGTTGGGATCCAGAGGTTTGCCCACTAGAGGGCGCCATGGATCCTCTCCTGGGAGCTGGTTCTCAGCGCACAGCTGTTTCCCATCAGCTCTGCTCATTAACCTCTCCCCATATAAGCTGTGTGACAGCTTCACTCGTAGCCGGATCGTAGCATGTGTTACCCACAGTCATAGCTCTCAAGCCATGGGTTTCCAAGCCTTGCCATGTTCTCCCATGCTCTTCCATGCCATTGCCATGCCTGCCTGAATCTGCTTATCCGTGCCTGTTAAACCCAGTCTGTCTGAACCAGCGAACCAGTGAGTTTGAGCTTATTTATCTGTCCCTGAGTTTAACCTGTGCTCTGTGTTCTCTGCCTTCCAGGGCAGAACCCTGTGTGTCACTAAGAAATATTGGACTTTAATCCAGCCTCAGTGTCTGTGGAGTTCTGCATCCTTGGGCTAGCAAACCAACCACGCATCATGACAGCCCCAGAATACCGCCACCACTATGAGCCTCTGAGGGCAGAGCTTTGTCTATCCTTTTACAACTTAAAAAGAAGGTAAAAACTAAAACTTCTATTCTTTTCTCTAAATCCTTCAAACGTCTGCAGGTTACGATTCTCAGTCATCCAGGTCAGAGTCATTCCAGAGAAGTTAAAAAATAATCCACTGGACTTTGTTTCCAAGTTTGAAGACATTTTGCTTCCCATCCAAGAAGCTTTTTCAATTAAAAATGTCAGAAATAACGTTGAGTTCCAGGTTTTATAGAGTGACCCAAAAACAAAGCTTTGCTTTGGTTTAGAAAACATGCAAATTGAACCTGATGAACGGGTCCACCCCTTAGGAATGGGGGTCGTTTGGGTTCTTTGTTAGCCTGCAATGCCCCATACCTGTCTATATCTATGAAAGGGGCGTCGTTATAGGGAATTGCTGGCCTGGCTGAACAGGCA